TGGTGATACTTATAGTTAGGGCGGGCCGGAATTATGTTGATGCCGGCCGGGGTTTTTTAATTGATCAATTTGACCCAGGTCAAGTTAACTTGACCTAAAAACCAAACTGACCCGTAACATACATACGCTTTTCTTTTTTATTAACCTACGCTACGTTTTTCGTGGTATTAACTGTACGACTATATGCAATACTTGTAAATTACTGATAGTTACCATAAATTTTTGATGGTAAGTTACCAAATGCTTGTAACCATTATCGGAAATGGTCGTATAAAACACGGAGCTTTCGGAATAACGATAAAAATACAAGTTACTGTCATCGGTAACTTGCGATGACCTACCGGTAATTTATCATTTTGGTAATTTACCATAAATTACCGTAATTTTTACAACCCTGTGAATACCTTATTGTCTCGGGCCAATTAAGCATAACGATACCGTCAAGTGTTTAGACAATTTTAATCAAAAAAAATTTTATAACATGCATATGTAAATAAAGACTAACAATAATTTGCACTTAAAAATATGTAAGTATTCCGAATTCCAAAACATCAAGCCAATTCTGGTTTTAGTAATCTATGTCCGATTTAGCTTTATATCCATAACCATAATCGTTCTTTGTGTCCTCCAAATGCCTTAAAACCTTTGGAAATATATCAACATGAGCATTTCTACCCCACCAACTATCTAAATGGCCATAACCAGGAATGTGACGTATAGAATATTTGGTGGGATCATTAATAGTAATAAGCATTTCATATGTTTTTCTAATTCCCTTAACATCATATCTATCGCAAATGATAAAGATTTAACAAAAAGATTTTTGGAATTAATCAAACAGAATAAAAAAAAATTCATTCAACTTACACTACGTTCTCATTTCCATGAAATAGGAAAATAGGGAAATTCAATCTATTCTTAATATTATCTTCAGTGACATAAACCTTTTCACCCCAATAAGTCACCAATTCACCAGCTCTTACGCAACTAGCAAAATGGTTCATTGTGGTCAAATTAACTTCTCCCATAAATTGATCAAGATTATCATGTAAGAGCTGGGTTAGATTTTCATGCTTATAAAGCGTTCCATAAGCTAAGGAGTTTCGATGACATAATGCATTTTGACACACTCCACCAGATGGAACTGGATAGAATCTTAAAAGTTGATTGATAGTGCTTTGTAATAAAGTGGTGTGTGGAGAAGTACGTACGTCAAATGTTGATTGGTGTAGAACATTTTGTAAGAATTGAAGTAGATGGAGATTAACTTTAACACGATTCCAAAAACCAACGATTGGAGTCATTCCCTAAAAAATAGATATATTACTCGATAATATAGTAAAAAGGCACGATCTTTGAAAAATTGTTGAAATCTTACCACTTGAGATGAAACAAGTGAACTAACGCCTTCAATCTCTCCACTCAGTAATCCCATAAAAGCTATAACAGAGCCAAGGCAATGAACAATCATTGCAATATTTTCACACCCAGTTATTCTTCGAACTTCATTTACAGCAGCTTTAATATCCAAAACACATTGATCCAGAGTTTGCTGTTTAGAACTTTGACTATTTGTCGGCGCAATGCGATAATCGATTAAAAATACATCATATTTGTTATCCAAAAGATAGTCCAAAAAGTTATTCTTTATTAAATTTGTTGAAAACATTTCATGCGTCACTGATGTACCATGAACCTATAAATAATAATATGATAATTAGTTGGATAAATAAATGTGATAAAAAAATCTTGTTTACCAAAAGAACAGGACCCTTGTTTCCACCCTTATA